TGTGCCCTCCTGTGGGGCCCTAACCCAATACACTCCCTGGAACCACCATGGAAGTGGAGAATGGCCCCTTGGAAGACCATGTTCCACTACAAACAAGTGGTTTTCCACTTCCATGTTAGTTTCAAGGAGAGTATCCAACACCATTAGGAAAACCCCACTGCCATTCAACCCTTGCTCGTGAAGTCCAACGATGTAAACAGAGCTGATTGGGCGCCGATGTGCTGGCCGAGTGACGCCAATCCGTATGCGAAGCCGTGATGACGTGCACCAAAGCAATTATACTCAGTGATAACGAAGCTCTTGAATCCTAGACGAAACCCAAAACCCGTGAGCGCTGGTCAAACGCCTTCAAAACCAGCCAGAGTGAGCAAGTTTGGCTAATCAAATCGTTCGTCAGAAGTATTGATGATTGCTTGTCACATGTGTCTCTTCACTACAATCTCAGTCAAGCTACAGAATCTCATGAAATAGCAAGTCCAAGGGCAAATCTTGTGCTTCCTACGTCCAGTTGGTGGAGCTTTCGTGATTTTCTGACTTCTGTCCTCCTGGCAAAGAGTCAACGTTGAATCTGGACTCGATTTCAATGGTGTAGTTCTGCAACGGAGGCAGAGCCAAGAGCAAAGCCAGAAAGAAGGGTGGATTCCCCCCAAAAAGAGCTAGGGCTTCTCGTTCATCCTTGCAGCCGGAAATCCATCCCACAAAGCCTTTCCTGTCTACCTCTCGATCGGTGTTATGAACATGACAGCTGGTGCAGCTGATGCAGCCTGGCCCGCACTCAAGCTGCCATGTATGAAGCCGATCTTGTTCCACACCTCAAGTGAATGCAAATAGAACCACAAGATACCACAAATGATGTTACCGTAATAAACAGGCATTAGGTTGGAGGCCATCGCTAGTAGATGCTAGTAGGAAGATACCACAAGATACAGGGTTCCGAGCACAACATGGGCACCCCATGGCCCCCACAAACCAAGCTGAAATCTATCTCTGCTGTCCATGGACATGACAAACATCGAATCCACTGAAACATCGAGCAAAACCCTAGGGTGTGTAGCTCCATCGCCTCTCAGTGCTGTCCAGGTACCCTAGGCACAGCAGATGGACGCATCCAGTTCACAAAATCCTCATCTTTCACATTTTCCGCCTGAGAAAAAACATACAAGGCTGTTGAGATCTGTCGATCTGTTGAAATCATCTCAACAAGATTCTAAAACCAATAGCATAGAGAAAAACTGAGAACGATATACCAAACATTCATACACCAATTCCTCTCCGACCAAACATGGGAGTGATGTGCGACAATTGATCGCCGTCAAGGGCACCAAAAGAGTCTGCAAAGAAGAGTACTGGAAACGTGTGCTGGAAGACACAAGCAGAAAACTGCACATGTTTAAGATTAGGCAGGATCGACTCGGTGATTTTCCAAAGGCCTTCTTCACAGTATCTGGAAACACCTCGTACAGCCAGCGTTTGTTGGCATCCGGATAGTCCTGCGGGCCAACTCAGCTTCCAAATCCCTTTGATCAAATATAAATGAACATTCTCTGAGTTTGCCCACCCCCAAGAAAAAGACATATCTCCAACAGATCCATGATTTGATCCAACACACCTATCCCAACGAGAAGGGCTTCGGAGGAGTCCCCGTCCTTGGTGTTTCTATAGCGATCCACATCGCTGGGCCAGGCCACATCCGTTTTATCGATCTCGAAGCCCTCTACCTGAGGTGAAGAGCCACTCAGTCAATCAGTTGGGAATGTACATTAAAAACGACAAGTGATGTACAAGGTGATTCAGGTGATGCTATTTGATTTGGGAGAAGCAAGCACACCAGTTATTTTATTAAACTATATTAAAATGACAGGCTTTGGTGTGTTGGAACTGACATGTCTTGACAGGTCGGCATCACGGCGCGGTTTTCTCAGGCGATGGCTTTGAAGGTGTCGTTGAAAAGGCTCTGAGCCTGCCAAGTCAGCAACAAACGGAGCCCCAAAAATGAATCAACCCCAGTTCTTCACAGCACCACAACGCCAAGATGTATCAAACACAAACAAAAATTAGGGTCCCAAGTCTGTTTCTTGAGACAACAGACCCGGGTCACTTCTCCGTCCTCACGACTAGGGGCCACATCTCGTTCCTCAACGTGGACCCAGGTGCCTTGAGGCCACATGGAACCAGTGGCTTGCCATCCCTGAGATCCGAAAAGAGGCTGAGGTCACAGTGAGGTCGTCGGTCGGTGGAGTCCGGCACTGGCTGAGTGGCCCGAGGAGGTTAACCCCAACCGGGGCGAGTTGTGTAACCGGATCCCACCAAAATTGGCGAGGCTGCGCATAATTTTGCCACTGAGCTATCTATGGGATTCTATAGGTATCGTAGGTGTCGTAGGTATCTGGTGGCACATCTGCCCGTGAAGCGTCTGAAGGTGCGTCCCCAGGTACTGTTCACGCACCCGTTTTGGACATCGAGCATCTCGCTTTCCAGGAGGAGCCTGCGACGTGCCATTTCGCGGCACGACGGCCTGTCCTCCGACCTATCATCCCTCTTCAACCGATGTCCCAAGGCCTCTAAGCCATAGAGCTCTTGGTAGACTTCAGACTTCCTGGCAAATCATCAGAAATGGACTTCCTGTCCTCGATATTCTACACCATTGCATCCAGGGTGCATGTAGTAGTTGTAGTTCTGGTAGAATGGACCTCACAGAATGCGGCTTGAGCAACAAAAAACAACATATTTCGAACTGTCGCTAGAAGCTACTATATATATATATAGGTGCAGGTCATCGCCATTAGGTTGGAGGCCATCGCTATACTAGTAACAAGAAGCTACTAGGTGGAGGCAGAGCAAACATCGATACACTTCGAGTCGACTGAACAGTCTGCAGAGTCCACTCAGCCTGCGGCCTGTGGAGTAGAAGAGCAAGGGATTTTTGATGTCATGCGTTGGAGCCACCGCTAACCTGATATTTCAAGGCAGTCAGAAAAGGATCAAACAAGGGTGAGAGGTCTACCCTTGGAGCCGTGCAACCTCTTCTCGTGAAAACTTAAATCAATAAACAAGTATCGTCAGAACGAGTCTCATTGTCATCCGAATGGCTTCTTTGTCTGTTTGTATTAGTTCCAAGCACCTAAGACTTAAGATATCGATCAATTTCTCGCCACACACCCTGCACATCTGCACATTGTTTGCAATCTGCCGAGGCTCGTGATCTTCCGCTCGTTCGGCCGGCCATCGCGGGTGACATTGATATAGTCCTTTTTCTTGGTCGCGTTGACCACTTCGTTCAGATTGGTACCGATTGGGTAGGCCAAGAAGAGGTCCTATGACATGCAACCATCATCAGCTTCAGTGCTCCAAACGACTGGCTTTCAGTTGGTTAGGGTACCCTCGATGATCGAGAGGAATGGTTACTCGTCAGAAATAGGTGCAAATCCATGCGCCCAAATTCAATTGTTGTCATGGCGACACATGCTTTTCATGACTCCTCCAAACTTTCTCCGGAAGTTTCTATGGGTGTTCAGACCTCCTGCGCCCACGCCTCAAGCCAGCTGCTTCCTTGCTCTCCATTGATCCATCGCTCCTCAGCTGAACTTCTCTGATGCTTTGAAACCCCTTTCCCAAGTCCCTGTGGGCTTTACATGCTGTAGTAGTGTCCACAGCAACCTTCATCTACAATCCTACAATGATGCTGATGCTTAAGCCGCTTCGTAAGTTGATGTATGGAAAACAAACAATTCCAAAGAACACTAATAAGACTAAGACCTATTCTCAAAGTAGCTCAGAACTCCCAACTCACAAAAAAGGAGAGTCCTGCAAGAATATCAAAAACGCATGAATAGGGAATGCAAAGACATGTGATGTATTTCAACGTAAGAGGGCATGGGAAGGCTTGATTTTGAGAGGGAGAGTGCATGTGCAAAGGCCAAGATTTATGAAAAGTAGAGAAGTAGAGATGTTTGGAGAACACATAGAAAAAGGTTTCTAGACAACAATATAGAAAAACTGCTCCTGCAGAAACATAAAACGTTTGAACTTAAACAGTCCGTATGAATATACTTAAATTTCAACAACTTCTACTTGTTGGTCTGCTCCTAGCCCGCCGTTTAGTTTCGGCAGGATGCTGGCGCTACTGATATTGATGTGCACAGTGATGGTGCGCATGGGCACGAAGAGGCACCTTTACCGCCTTTGCAGCCTCCACTGCGTGCACATCATCACAGCCACAATGATGGCTACGACAAGAGTTGTGGGCAGGACGAGCGGCGCTATGGCTATCGTGACAGTTTTGCAGATCGCGTCTGCAGGTCTTCCCATCGCCATGGAATAGAGTGGGCAAAAAGCGGTCTTGATCCAATTCCTGCTCATCCTTTTCTAGTTAAAGTTGAACAAGCACTCAAGCTTACAAAACACAAATTGAACAAACAAATTTTGCGAGACGGCCGAACCCGCGCTGAGCAAGCCAGGAAAAGGAATTGGACAACTTGGAACGCATGATCAAAACCATGTTCACAATCGCCTGACAGCAGTGCCAAGCAAAAAACAATCTGAGGAACCTCAGCAACCCTTGTGACCCAAGTCACGTCGTCTCTTAAAGGCCAGAACAAATGATTTGCTTTCCTCAGCCAAAGATAGCACTTATGGGAGCAATCCGGAGTTGACTCCGTTGCCCTGTGCGGCAAAGAAGGTTGACAAGATGGTTGCCTGCAATAGTGTTTCCTCTGAGCGAAATGAAAACAACAGAGAACAGTATTTGTTTGCCGACTTGCAGACACCTCCATCTAATTTTTCCATATCTTCTTTGCTGGAACATGTCACAAGCATTTCAATTCTGGTGAAGTCCACTACAGTGGCAGGATATATATTATGGACAATGAGATGCAAATGGTTCTTCGATTCATTCCTTCCAAATTCAGCCGTTGCAAACCAAGGGGAGGGGGTTTTCTATGAAAAATGTCCTTTGACTGATAATTGAGTTCCTTTCTTGCGCTTGAAACAAAGCAAATTGAACAAACAACTATGTCAAAGACCATCGAAATTTTGGAAGTTTGGCGTGACGAGTTTCTGATCCAGGCAAGTTCTCACTCATGTTCGACTTGACTCATTTTGAGGACCAAGCGCAGCCCGGGTGCCCAGGTGAGTTGACGCGCACACATGTGGGTTCGGGGAGAAAAAACTTTGATGGTGTATGAGAGCTAACGATTTCATTTCTAGATTCTAAGCCAAATGTAACCAGTATGAAATAAACCAAAAAGTGCTCTGCCGCAAAGTAGACAAATGATATTTCTGTAGATACATTATATGCAAGCATGCCGGATTTCAAGATTATCCCGGCAAGAGACCACAAGCAGTGTGTGTGAGGTCTAGAGGCGTAGCAGCAAGAGAGGTCATGGTGGTGATGAAGGTGAAGATCGTGGTGACGGTGGTGAGTGAGTGAGAGAGTGAGTGAGTGAGTGAGTGAGTGGGTGGGTGGGTGGGTGAATGAATGAGTGAGTGAGTGAGTGAGTGAGTCAGTGAGTGAGTGAGTGAGTCAGTCAGTGAGTGAGTGAGTGAGAGAGAGAGAGACAGACAGACAAAGTGAGAGAGAGAGAGTGAGTGTGAGTGTGTGAGTGTGTGTGAGCGTGAGCGTGATGTGAGTGTGAGTGTGAGAGTGACAGTGAAAGAGAGAGAGAGAGAGAGTGAAAGAAAAGAGAGAGAGAGAGAGTGTGAGCGAGCGAGTGAGTGAGTGCCAAGCGAGTGGGTGAGTGAGTGAGTGAGTGAGCGAGGGAGTGAGTGAGAGTGAGAGTGAGAGTGAGGGTGAGAGTGAGAGTGAGAGTGCATGTGAGTGTGAGTGTGAGCGTGTGTGAGTGTGAGTGTGAGTCTGAGAGTGAGAGAGTGAGAGAGTGGTGTGAGTGTGAGGGTGAGAGAGTGTGAGAGTGAGTGAGTCAGAGCGAGTGAGTGAGTGTCAAGTGAGTGAGCACGCACCTGAGAGCACACTGGGTGTAACCACGCCAGGTCCATCGGATAAAAGAATAGCTGGGTGTAACCAAGCCAGGTCAGCCCAGAAGCAAGAGTCTGAGTCCAGAAGACAGGAAAGTGATCGAAGTAGAGATAAAAACCAAGCTCTAGGCCCAGCTCTAGAGAGTGAGTTGCAGCAGTCGGTCTCTCAATCTGAAGATCTCAGATTAGATACCAATTTTTAAAGAGCGCACATCGAGAACAGGCTGGAGTTTCAGCGGTGCACAAAGCGCTGCGCCTGCCACGAAATCTCCACTTCGAGGTTCACAAAGTGCTGCGCCTGCCAGGAAATCTGCACTTCAAGTATTACAAAGTACCAAATCTGCAACTCGAGGTTCACACAGTGCTGCGCCTGCCACGAAATCTGCACTTCGAGGTTCACAAAGTGCTGCGCTTGCCACGAAATCATACGAAATCTGCAATTCAAGGTTTAAGTGCTGCGCCTGCCATGAAATCTCCACTTCAAGATTCACATGTGGCAGCCCTGACAAGGTGTTTCGCCGCAAGAGCGCTTCATCAAAATATCAAAACGCAGCTTTCGCGTAAGACTTCCCCCGATTTCTGAAAACAAGCCACATGTAGAAAAGTCACGACTCACTGCACTTGTCACGAAATGAGTAGAGCGCGTCGAAGATCACCACCGCCGTGGTGCACCTGCCACGAAATCTGCATGTCTAAGTACAACCGCTCCGATCCCTTGCACCTGTCACGGGGAGTCGACTTTGGACCGCCAAATCACCAGGTTTCCTTGCGCCTGCCATGAAAAGTGACCACCATGTCCGAAAATGCGCGCGGCACCACAACGAGAGCGCAGTCGCGAGAAGCACCCGCTCACGCACCAAGCCGATTTTGCGAGCATGCGCAGTCGAAATACACTTCCAGGATTTCGAGAGGCATGAATGTGTTGTAAATTGCGCGAATGAGCCGGACACGTCGGTGCAACACCTTGATTAGACACCGGCCCTTAACTACTACATACTACTACCGTAAGAACCCCTAGTGTGATCACACTGTTTGGGGAAAATAAGTACAGAAGTAGGGATTTCTAGGAAAGTTAAGAAAAGCAGGAGCTTTCTGAAGAAAAGTGGACTAGTGGAGAATTGCAACACATTCAAAGTACAGATGCTTAGAGTGCAAACAAGATTGTTCTTCGTAAGAAAATAAAGCCAAAGTGAAGGCCACACACCGCATTGCCACATGGCACTTCATAGCGTCAGAATGTCTAAAACAAGAGATGAACAAAAGGACCCCCTTTAGAGGGGCCCTTAGCATCTTGTTTCCAAACACACAACATCAGCGTCGAATTGGATACCGACCCAGGCTGGTGCTGCAATTCCTTCTGACATTCTCTTCCCACCAGACGACTACCCTTGCTTTTCAAGGCCCCTGTCAGCATCTGGTGGAACGCGTGTTTTACCCCTTCAGATGCAACTCTCCAACCTTTCATAAAAGGTCTATATAAAAAAAGGGAAGAAAGGAAAGAAAAGTCTGAGAAAAAACAAGTCTAAAGGTCTAAAGGTGTAAACAAAGAAAGAAAGGAACGGAAAGGGAAGGAAAGACAAGAAAAGACAAGACATGACAAGACAAGAACGAAAGAAAGAAAAACACCTTGCTACTAGCCTTTCTCTTTGGCAAGCCCAAGTTCGTCATAGATGATGCGAACCTGGTTCTTGCTGCTGGATTGGCCTTGGAACCGACAGTGGATACACCGGTGAGTCTAGCGAGGCTGCTGAGTCCCGGTAGTTTTGTTGCGTTTATGGTAGCGAGATGATCTGATTAATAACACCCCCTCTGCATGTTCTTCTTCAGAATTCTGTAAAAAATCTGTGTTTCACAACGAATCTATCACCAAGAACAACACGCCAAATGAGATCTTGTACCAGGTGGCTCCAACAAAGCAGGGCTAGTAGCTCCATGACAACGCCCCCTGCGATAGCGAGGCTGAAGACCTCAAAACAGCCAACGGCGCTGGGGGAGCCTGTTGGTGCGGTACCTGCATTGATACTAGCGCTACAGTAGTATGAAAGGATTGTTGACGCTTCGCGTCGACAGCCGCCCACCCCGCGCACGAACAGCCGAAGTTAGTGAATGGAAGTAGCCATCTCGCGCGAAAAGAAAGGGCCCCCCCTAGCAAAGCTATTTGCATAGCAGCAAAGCTTAGAGAGCCCCATAGCACGCCCTGCACCGACAAGCGGTGTGGGCGGATTTTTACGATGAATGAGACACGTGTTTGCACAAAACACAAGAAGTGAGTTGGATACCTTTCTCATTCTGTGCCTTCGCAGCTTGCAAGAAAGAGGCTCGGGTGTCATAGGCCACCTTGTCACCTGAGCAAGATCGTACAAAATCTCACAAGGTTGCACACCAGGTTTGCACCCAAAGAAGGTAGAGAACCGTCGAAGGGGCCATTCACTAAGACTCGCCCGAAGAGTCACGTGCCAAAACAAATGTTTGCATACATACATACATACATACATTACATTACATTACATTACAATACATTACATTACCTTACCTTACCTTACCTTACCTTACCTTACCATACATACATACATACATACATACATACATACATACATACATACATACAT